CCTTCCCCAACCCAAATCATAATTACAAAATAAATACTGTTTTCAACTTCATAAATAAAATGTAAACTTCAAAATACTTTTCTTAGACATAACAGCAATGCTTTAAATGTAAACCAAACACAAAGCTAATCGGAAAAAGAAAAAAAAAAGGGGGAAAAAAAGACACAACCAACTGAAGAATTACAACACAAAGCCTCAATATTTACTCACAGGTTCAAGGCAGTTATGTAAAAAGAAAAGAAATGTCTTCCCTTAGCTGAAACACTTTAAAAGGTCCACCTTCTTCAAAGAAGGCAATAGAATGCAATGTGACAGGTAAAAACCCTGTACCTCTTGTCCATATTCAAACATAAAAGATATTTAAGAAGTTTTAATTCAAATACTAGCAATAAAAAATCTCACATATTTCTTAGGATGCTAAGTAGTCGTATTATCCCCATCTCAACACTGACTTACAAAGACATTTACTAATGTATAAAGTTTCTCTTAACTTGCCTTTGTTGTATAGTTTTCATATATAAATGGACTGAGGACAAGAGCTCTTTAGGCTTTGTGCGTTTTGTTTGTCTTAAAGGAGACCTGCAGGACTCTGTCTCCCAGACGGTATCCATTGAGGCTAGCTATCGCCATGGCAGCCTCATCATAGTTTGTCATAGTCACAAATCCAAAACCTTTGCATTTATTGGTGTTAAAGTCACGGATGACCTTCACATTGGTGACAGCTCCAAAAGGCCCAAACATCTGCCAGAGGATACTCTCATCTGCATCAGGAGCCAGGTTGTACACAAAAATACACCACCCTGTTCCGGGGTGCCCAGGGATATTAATTCCAGCCAAACTGGTCATTCCATCAATGGTCATTGGAGAAAACCTACTAAACAAAATAGGAAACACACACACACATACACACACACACAACAGAAAAAGAGGTTGGTTACAGCAATGGACTTTTGTCTTTTCCCTTTCCCATCCCAAGAGTTTCAGTAACTCCCCTCCCCCAACAGATACATACAACGATTTGACGTTTCAACCAAAGTCTGTGTGTGGTTTGCAGTGACATGCTATACTGTCAAGGTATTAATAAGGTATGAAATGGCCATTATATGCTAGACTGAATAATATTATCCACAATAGCAAAGACATATATTTAGAACTGGCTTCATGAATTAAGCAGGATTGGGGGGGGGGGACCAACACATATGTAAACATGCTATAATGTCACAATGCAGTATAAAACAAATAATGGCTTTTTCAAAGACCAAGTGGCAGCCAGTGGTATAAAAATATTCCTTGAGTCAACCGTGCTTCAAATAGCAGCTTTTCATTAAGTTGTACATGCAAAAGTAAACCCAACACAAACTTATGAAGCGTGTCACTCCCCAAATCAAAGAAACTAATTAATTATGGGAAGGGATTATGAGTATCATGAACTTCTATCATTACCTCTTTACTCCATAAGCCATATTGAGCAGATTGTCCAACCTGCAAAACACACATTTAGCAAACTTCAGTTTTTAATTTTTCCCCTTGATGTTCCAGAAAGCTGGGCTTGTTACTGCCATCTTCCAAGGGGATATTTGTATATTTATTAATTGTACGTGAAGTCCCAAAACATTGGGTCTTTTCACATTCCTGAGAGAATGGGTACCCACTGCCATAAGATCCTCGCTCTTCTGATGGATACAGTTTATCTCTACAAGGGTCAGTGCCACACACGGGAAACGCTGGTGGTCATCCGAGGAAGCCATTCAGAAAGGACGTGTGGAGGCTCCGGAATCATGAACGTCTGGGTTCTCACCTTTTGCCAAGCAAGTTCTTAACTGCTCCACAGGCACCTACGTGTACCTATCCTACTTGTAAGTTTCCTAACTCTATTTGTTCCTGAGTATATGAAAGGCATACAGATTAAGTGACTTGCCCAAGACCACAGGGCTAGTGAATGGTGGCACTGATAGTCAAACTCTGTAGATGACAGAATTCCATGAATTTCTCTTCAACCTCCCAACTTGGAAGGACTTTCATTTCTTAGAATCAAAGTGGTGTTATTACAAGTGGAAAGAACCTAATAGACAACCTTGAACCTCCCATTTCTCTACATGCTCAGCGAAGGTCCAGAGAAAGAAAGACGGAGACTCACTGCTCCAGTGAGCAACAAAGCGAGCAGTTGGGACCTGAGCCTGATGCCTGTTGTGACTACGCTACAGGAAGGGTAGCCCTACTCACAGGGTAAGGAGCCAGGGAGAAACAAACCAACCAACTTGAGCTTCTCTTAAAATTTTTAAAAGAAAGTGGTTGCCGGTGGGGGGGCGGGGGGGATACTCTTTAAAACTCTCCACCCTCTCACTATATCAAAAATCAAATTGATTTTATAGTACTTGATTCTTCTTGCTTTATCAGTTTCAAAGATTCTCATGTTTCCATTCTCATGTTTTAAATGTCCACAAGGTGCACCAATTAATGACACATGTTTAGAGGCGGCAGGCCTAACTTAATCCTTTGCCCATATGACACCCTCAACTGCCACAATGTTCAACACTCTCCAACTAAGACCCTGGATTGGGGGAACAATTTTTTCTTTGTTTTAAACACCTGGGAACAGTAAGTTTGAAAAATGTATCAATCTTATTGTCTAACCTGTGGCCTCAAGTGAGGGTCCAGCACACAAGAGAAAGCAACTCCTTCTAGTTTTCTAAAAGCCAAAAAACCTCTCTCTCTGGTCTTTCAGAATCGGAAAAAGAATCTTCACACACTCCTGTTCCTAATCACCTCTGGGCATTTTGTTTTGTAAAAATGCAAAGAAAGAACTGAGCTGATGCAAAGCATAAGGAAACCGAACAAATCACAGTGACGAAGGATCCTCATCCGTGTGTGTCTTCAGCGCCACCACCCTCTCAGGAGCAGGGACATGTTCACTCCTCATTGTACCACTAAGCATGGATCACTGCAGGTTTACAGTAAGTACACTGACCACATTAAAGCAATGAGGTTACCAACATTATCCTTAACTAATCTAGAATTAAACTAATCAGGAGGGCTGCGGGGGGGAGCCCATTTGCACATACACGGGAGAAAGCACATGTGTGGAAAGAACACACAGGTGGGAGGGCTTTATTTTCTGCAGAGATGATGAGTATAGTCAAAGACGCCATGCCTTTATACTCCAAAATAAAGGCCACAAATACCAGAAATAAAGATGCACACTAATTACTATCACTAACCATGAAGTAATCTGATACAGATAATTTCATAAAATTGCTGGAATGGTCAATACAGAATGCATTAGGCATGTGATTCCTGTAGAACAGAACATATTGAAGTCTCCTTCCAAAGTGCTGAAAGGCCCAGATGCAGAGACACCTCATCGATTCACTCAAAATAGTTACATCATCTCTGCCCATTAACTGGGCCCAGGTAGAGAGTGTCACACTCTGCCACCACCAGCTTAGGACACCAACCAAAAGTCCAGAGACAGAATCTCCCACGCAAGTTTTTAGTATTTTCAAGAGAGGGGGGAAACCAAAACTGCCCTAGAAGTGAATTACGCACTTTAAGGAAGAGACATCTCGTTTCCCACTCTCCATCCCAGGAATCTCCAGGCAGGAGGCCTGGGATGTTTATACTAGGCTCTCTGAGGACGCTCTCAGTGGGCCTCTCATTTGCCCCACCTGTGAAATCCTGTATGCTACCATAATCCTGACCACTGATTTCTTCACTTAATACCCCATTTTAGGAAAAACTCAGGCCTTTAGAATTTAAGTCAAGTTATCTGCCTCTATCTCAACCTTTCCCCCTCCCTCTCCTTCCTCTCCCCACTTCCCCATCAATGAGGGCAGCAGGGAAGAACATAGGACCTAAGAAACAGGACCCAAGCAATGCTGAAAACCTCTGCCTGCAGTCAGCTGGGCCACAGTTTTCCCTGCTCTCTCAGTGCCACACACCCATGTTTCTCACGGGAGCCGGCAGAAAGCAGTGAGCACTCCATGTGGGCACCATGCACCCCAAGTCTATAGCAGTTGGAAAACTGTGAACTAGGCATTTACAAGAGAAAACGGTGTGGCATGCACTGCCTAGTTTACAGACACAGGGGCCACTATTCCTCTCCACAATTATACATCTTTGCTGGGTCTGTCCAGAGCTCCAGAACAGCCACCGTTTATATGTGCTCATTTAAAAACAGAAGCCAATTTTTAGTGGAGACCAAGTTAGTAGCCCCCAGAATGAGCCGGTGTGTGTGTGTGTGTACGGGGGGGGCGGGGGGGGGGTGCATGCTGGTGTACTGCAGTGTGGCAAGTTATATTAAAGTGTCTATTAAATACATGTTTTTAAACTTTAAAAATAAAGTATTCTTTACTCATATTTAATCGATACACTGCACCCAGTACCCTCACTCAGTCCCCAAGCATCACATACCTTCCTGAGGGAAGACTGAGTGGTCCCCAAGGGGACAGTGACACTCTCACCTGTTCTTTATCTTGGACAAATAACACGTTAAGTGGATTTGGAGGATTAGATTGGGAAACCTAGCTTTAATTAACCCTCAAAGAAGAGGTAGCTTCAAAAAGATTACTGCAGTAATAATCATCATCATCATCATCATCAAGGTGAGGATGACACACTAAGGGAAACCCAAGTAAATACGGGAGAGCTGATTATTTCTCCTACTCCCAGTACAAACCACATTATGAGGTTAGATACAAGATAACCCAACATGTCTCAAATGAAGTCAGACAAGAAATACCAAATTATCAAGATCATCATTTTATGAATCTCGCTTTAACGGTATATTATTTACTAAGATATTAGGTAATAAAATATGAAACCAGTCAGCATGATAATTAGCAAGATATCTGATGTACTGTTTACTTCATCTTTATCCTATCTTTATTTTCTGTGTGTGATTAGGGTTTATGAGTTAAAGAATGTAACAGCACAAGCCCATGTGCATATAATTTATGAAAATATATATTCTGGGGATATGTATACAAACATTTTTCTATCAGTAGAAATACAACTTGGACTATGACCAGGCAATATTTTGAAGAGAACCATATATTAGGTAAAGCATTCCCATTTTAAAGCTAGATGTTTGTCAGCAGAGAATAAAAAGGTACCTGCCTAGTTTCCAAGAAATTTAGCTGACAGACTATAGGAGGGCCCACATGCAAGTAAAAGGAGAAATGTAAAGTCAATTAAAGTCAGAAATAAAAATATAAAGAGAGACTACTAATGGGTAAGACAAAAAACACCCTGAACTCTACAAATAATGGTTCTCAAAACCTCTCCAAAGAACCTTCAAGACCTGCTTTGAAGTTAAACCACAACAAGATCATCAAGTTACCCCCTATCCAATTAGATGGTATCACCTGTCCTCTAAGAGAGACAAAAATTATTCCGGAGGATACCAGTTTATCCCAAAAGGAAACTGATAGTGCAACCAGCACATGCCTTCAATGCAACTCAAGTGCCGATTTAAAAGGCTCCTTTAAAAATGCATAAAGGCTTAGAGAAGCAAGCAGGCAGGCCATTAGACTAGATCACATTCAATAAAATTAGAGCTGCTCTACAAGAAGAGAGATGAAAAAATTTAGCTGAAAATTTAATTCAGATACCATGTCCCAAGAAGATACTTAAGGGGCTTGAATTATACTATCCATCCAAATAAATAAGGCTGGTCTTCTTTTGAAAACTGTAGTCAATTAAATCAGCATATTAGATCAGGAGTACTCATGTTAAAATAATTTCTCTTTCTAATTACTCACATGGGTTGGCTGAGTCATAAACCCTGACAACCCAACTTTTAAACTTAATCCTTATTACATAGATTTTAATTTTTTGGACCTTAAGCAATATGGTGCATTTCCTGAACATTACAAGTATCCTTGACTATTATTATACTTAAAACTTGTATTCTCCAATCTCTCTCAACTCCCAAGGTACTATGACAACATAAACACACACCGCGAGAAATTTTCTAAGTGTCTGCCGGAGGGTAAGAAACTCAAGGCTCAGAGAATCAGGACACAGATATTAGGGACAAAAATATGTGTGTGATGATCTAGACCTGAACTAGAGAAGAGCAAAATAGCAACAAAACAAGCAAGTCCTTAATTCAAGAATCTTTATGAGGTAAAAGAAGAAGATGCAACCTTAACTACAGGGAAAAAAAAAAGTAATGACAGCCAAATTTTTACAGATATTAGAGAAAAGCAACCAAATACACATCAGATTAAACCTGAATTCTAGGAATAAGGCTCGCAATGTCTTCTTATACTCAATCTTACACTGTGACCGAGCTCAAAGACTAGTTCACAATTTATTATCTGGACAGAGATTATGGAAGAAATGAGAAGTGAGGTGATGGAGATAAGTGTTAGGAATCTGAAAAGACAATAAAAATCTTCCTTATTTTCTGAAACCAAGTTTCCCTTAAAACAGACAACTCTTATTCCCTTTTACCAAAATTTCTTCTTACAGGAGTCAAGGAAAGAAGAATTTCCAGGTTAATAACTTATGGAACTAAAAGATAAAAGCAAAGAATGGGCAGAAGATATTTAAAAAGATATTGAATTTGACCATCTGAACATCCTGTAAGGCTTTACCGAACCACAAATAAAAAGCACAGGGCATGTAGGGAGGGGGCTTAGTGGGGCTGAGAAGAGAGAGAGCAGTTTTCAACAGCCTAATATTTGAGTCACCTACACGCCTTGCCATTTCAATAATCAGGCATTCTCCTGAATATCCTGTCATTTCAGACCTCTTGCCCAATATTCCTCAGAACGCAATCTTGATTCTAAGAACATAGTTTTACTTAATAACTACCATAAAACAAAAACCAGAGCTTAAATCCGAAAACATGAAAAATAACTAACAATTTAAATGAATACATAGCTCTCTACTAACAGTGAACATTTTAAACTTTCACAGTGTTCAAACCAACCACTAAGTTTCAAAGAACTTTATCGAAGCTCAAAATTCTTTTCTAGGCCCCAGAGAGCTCTGAAGTTAACTGAACAGGCTGCCCAGGAAACACTTCTGACATTCCTTCAAGATTGTGCTAAATTTGCAAAAAATATTATTTACTTAAGACGCCACAGAGGAAACCTACGTGCAGAGCTAAGAAAAGGCTTTGTGAGATTTCCTTCTCCACAAGAGCAAGCGTCAAGCATCCCCCACAGATCTCTCCTTCCAGCCCAATCGCCACTACCATCCACCGTAGTCAAAGGTGGGAGCGTTTGCTTTTTTTTTTTTTTTTACCTCAAAAAGTTAAAGCAAAGAGTGAAGTGAACACAAGGCTCAACCAACTGGGTACCCAGTCATCCAGGTCCATATGGAGCCTTCTGACAGTACCAGCCCTTCTGCCAGGGCAAGAGCCACCCTAAGTAGGAAGTGAACATGTGTTTATAGCAAATTTCTTTCTTACCATTCAGGTGACATAATTATTTTAAAAGGAGATTATTTGATTTTATACCCACTCTTTTCAGCACGCTCAATACCCAAATGAAAAAATGCACGTGATTTAAGCTCGAAAATATTTAACTCCTTATTAAGCTATGTTTATGATTACATTTTTGGGAATTAACTATTCCGCCCCAGCAAGGAAAGAATGAAAATTGACATGAACTTGTGATAAAAAAAAAAAAAAAAAAATTAGCATGGAGGCTAGATGGCATTATGGTTGGAGTATACCATATGGCCAAAAAGGATATTAAAAAATGTTCTGCAAAATAAAAACCTGAGTGACTTTGCTTATGACTTTGCTTTGTGCTCTGTTTAACTTAAAGTCACTGCTCTTCTCACATGCAGATTAGGGATGCTTTCTAAATGACTCTTGTTTGGTTGTTACCCCAGGATGAAAATAAAACTTAAAAAATTAGAATATTTCTATTTGTCTAAGAGATAGAACATCTTCTTTGGGCTAATGATGCACGGTCATTCTACGGACCACACAGGGGTCTAAAAACCACCACCCACAGGCCAAATCCAGGCTGCCATCTGTTTCTGTAAAGCACAAGAGCTAAGAATGTTTTTTACATTTTTAGAGAGTTGTTTTTTTTTTTTTTAAAAAAAAAAAGACCTATGCAACAGAGACTCTGACCCACAAAGCCTGGAATATTTACTATCTGGCCCTTTAAAGAGAAGGTTTGATACCCCCTAAACTAGAAGAAATAAAACTTTTAAAAGGGAGAGGGACCTATTTGTAGCAACAATGTATTCATATGGGTTATATATCCTTAGTGGTGCAGGTATCATAAAACAAAGTAACTGAAAGAGCTTGACCTAAAAACTGAGACACCAGAATAAAACCTAATCAAGAAAAAACTAAAAAGGAAGAAATTGGAACTGGAAATAGTGAGGAAGCACCCAGCACTCTGCAGGGCAGGGTTTCCCAACCTGGGCACGACTGACGTTCTGGGCTGGCTAACTTGTTGTTGGGGGCTACAGTGCACCCTGTAGGATGTGTAGCAGCAACCCTGGCCTCCACCCTTTAGAGGCCAGCAGCACCCCGACCCAAATTCTGCCAACACAAATGTCTCCAGACACTGCCCAATGTCCCCTGAGGAGCAAAATTATCCCCAGTTGAGAATCACTGCTGTAGGTTATCATCCTTTTGTCCTCATCTTCAATATTAGCAAATGACACTATTCTCCAATGTTTTCTCTGTGCTCATACGAAAAACAACAACAACAACAATAATAATAATAGCAAACCAGAGAGCCTGTCAACGAAAGTACTAGTGAAGCTTTTCTGAGTTTACCAGCTGGGCGTGAGCACCACATCAGACTTACCTAAAACGCTGTGCCTGCTGAGCTAGAGGTCCTGGATACCTTCTGTTTGGAGACTGGTACAGCTGGGAGAGGATGGCCTGATTGGTTTTTTGGCTTGGATTATTAGCAAACTTTACAGTGATTGGCTCTGTGGCACCAGGAGGCTTCTGGCCATTTAGGCCTTTGATAGCTTCTTCTGCCTCAATCCGCTTGTCAAATCGGATAAACCCTACACCCCTTGATATGCCTATGGTAGATGTGGATAAGGATTTGGGAAAGAGGGCGTGGAAGGGGAGAGAAGAAAGGATAAATTAATTTTTCCTTCTCAAGAACATGTTTTCACTCACATATAACATCTGCCACAAAATCACACGAGGAAAGTTTTACCTTAACTCAGCAATTCAGTGTAGACTCACAATTTGAGATACATTTTTTTAATGCATGAAGTCACCTATACAATATGAATACCCACTATCACATGCCTACCAATAAGCCAAGAAGAGAAAGCACACAAGCACGTCCGTGTTTTCTCTCCCCGCCTTCTTCTCTCCCTCCCAGACACTCGCTCTCTTGAATGATGCCAACAGCAAGCTTGAGTTCTAGTTTTCACATTATGCTATTGGACAAACAGCTCAGAAACAAAGGGCACAGTAACTCCTTTTCTTGTAACAAGGAGAACAGAACCAGGCATTTGCTAAAAATACATGCACAGTGGTAGAAAGATATATTCCAGCTAAATTTTTAGATAATAAAATTCTATTTAGTAATATTATATAGGATACCAGTCCTTTAAGAAAAACGTCTGAAGAGGCTTTTCTGGTTCCCTGAAACTCCTCTATTACTTTTAACTAGCTATACTTTATTAGAGAAATAATATTATATGGAGAAAAAGAGGTACAAGGGTCTTAGATGTTAAAAATAAATAAAATGAAGTCTCGAAGCCTGCTGGCTTTAGCAGCAATACTCCTGAGGATGGACTGCCATTCCCTGTCTCAGGCGCTCCCCGCTTTGAGAGACAAGAATGGGAAAGCTGAGGGATGGTGGAATACCTGTCCCGCTTTTCAGAAACGCTGGAGGGAAACCCAACTCATTCCACTTAATTAGCTTAAACAGGCCAGTGGGGGTGGCCAGAGCTGGCCATCAGGAGATACGCATTTGCAGGGAAACACTTTGTTTGGCAAGAGAACTGGTACTAGCAGTACCAGCGTGGGACTAGTAGCTAGAAAAGTCTAGATGACTCAGAGTAATGTCATTGAAGAAAACAATGAGAGGTTATTGAGAAAGACAGGCTGAGAAAATGCACCACACCATCACAATTTATAGGAATTTTAAAAAGGAATGAAAGTCTCCTTGCTTTACAATTAATATTGTGTAAGTTCAATGGCTTAGAATTTTATTCTAAGATAGACAGGGCATTTTCTCCATATACGCTTATCTCGCTGTGCCTTTCCTAATAAAGCTACATACGTTGCACATTATTATCACCTGATGGCTGAATAACAAAATTGTAGGATTTTTCATTTCAAGTAAAGTGAATAATTTCACCTTGAAAGCCGTTAAGTATAAAGATGAAATGGGAGCAAACATATCCTTTCAGTTACCTACTAGCTCCTCTTAAGAATTAATAACCGCTAGGACTTAACTGTTCCACGAGGAAAGCACTGGATTAGCAATGAAATGGCCTTTACACAGGCTGAGTCATCTAAAGCCATGGTCCTCAAATTTAAGCATGCATCAGAATAACCTGAAGGGCTTGGTAAAATGCCCACTTTCAGCGTTTAATTCATTAGGTTTTGGGTGGGGCCCAAGAATTTGCATTTCTAACAATGTTCCAGGAGGACGCTGGTGCTGCAGATGCAGGCCCACACTTGAGAACCATTGACTAAACCAGGAGGTGGTGAGGTAAGTCCACCTGTGAGCCCATATACTCAGGACAGACTTGCAGTTAAGACATAGGCTTTCTGCATCATAGGTGAAATCTACTCTCAATCACTAAGTCCTCATTAAGAATGAATGAATTAAAAAGCATGAATAACATGAACAAAATAAAATGCCTTTTTTTTTTTTGCTTTAAACAAATTTATCTTGAACCCTAGGCCTGGATTTCTATTTAACCCCATTAGCAGTCTGTACAACACATTGTGACAGAATGTATAAGGATTATGAAATGCAGCAAAGAAGAAAAGACTGTATTTTTATATAGCCTCACTTAACTAAACTTTCTCCTTAGAGCAAAACCCACAGGCCAGTCTCCTAAGCATGTATAGGATGGTAGGTATCTCTCTGCTCAGAACTCTAAAGATAGTGCTTCCTATGAGGCCAATTAACAGCACAGAGGGGCATAACATGGGCTGCTTCTGATCAAATTCAGATCAATGAAACTAATCTTCACTTGAAAAATTAAAAACCTGGCCTGATTTTATTGCGGTTAACCCACTGCTTTCTTAGAAAAAAAAAAAAAAATCAGACATTGTAATACACAATGTATCTCTAGTGGTATTATTATTAGAAAGAGAGAAGAGAGAGGAGGAAGAGAAAAAGGAGAGTAAAAGAGGAGAAAGAGAAAGAAGAAACACCATGAAAGAAAAGAGGAAAACCTATTTTTTCCCCCAAAACCCACAAAATCTTTGTGTGTGTGTGTGTGTGTGTGTGAGGAAGATCGGCCCTGAGCTAACATCTGCCAATCTTCCTCTTTTTGCTGAGGAAGACTGGCCCTGGGCTAACATCCGTGCCCATGTTCCTCCACTTTATATGGGACGCCGCCACAGCATGGCTTGCCAAGCAGTGCATCGGTGAGCACCCGGGATCCAAACCAGCCAACCCCGGGCCGCCGCAGCGGAGCGCGCGCACTTAACAGCTTGCACCACTGGGCCGGCCCCCACAAAATCTTAATGTGACTGCTTGAGTATATGACACTACAGGTGATTATTCCCCCTCTTTACCATGTCTCTCTACTTTCAATATGTTTTAAAAAGAATAAGTATTGCTTTTATAATAGAAAAGTATACCTATACTTTATTTTAAAAATCCATAATCAAATCTGTATTGCTAGCTTTTCTAAAGTTATGGCAGAAGAGCTTCCTTACATACAAAAGTTTCTTTCTTTTTTTTTTTTTTGGTGAGGAAGACTAGCCCTGAGCTAACATATGTACCCATCTTCCTCCTCTACTTTATATGTGGGATGTCTGCCATAGTATGGCTTGATGAGCTGTGTGTGTAGGTCCACGCCCGGGATCTGCGCCCGTGAACCCTGCGCCGTCAAAACAGAGTGCTTGAACTTAACCACTACGACACCAGATGGTCCCCCAAGAATATATTACTTCTTTTTTTTTTTTTTCTGGTGAGGAAGATTAGCCCTGAGCTAACATCTGTGCCCACCTTCCTCTACTTTATATGTGGGATGCCTCCCACAGCATGGCTTAATCAACAGTGCGTAGGTCCACACCCAGGATCTGAACCTGCAAACCCCGGGCTGCCAAAATGGAGCACACGAACTTAACCACTATGCCACTGGGCCAGCCCCCATACAAAAGTTTTAATATATTAGTCTTCTCATTTCAGTTTGGTTAAAAGTTACATTAGGCATAAAACAAATTTTTAACATTCAAAATTTCAAACTCTTACACCTGCCTATACAACACAGCAGGAAAACCTGAACAGCTATTCTAGTGTAGACGTAGTGTAATCCTCCCTTGGAGAACTACCTGCATATGGCTGTGTTAAACTATGCTTTTTACAAAAATAAGATTGTTTATTAGTACTTTATAAGAAGGATGGGAGCTTTTTTCACACAGCAACTTGGAAATGAAGATTATAGCATCTGTAAATTTATTACAAGCCATAAAATAGGCTTCGAACCTGTACCTTCAGGGTGGAAATGACTCAGGCTCACTCACTACACTCCACAGTCTATTTTTATCCATGCATATTTATGAACAATTCCAGCAGAAAATTGCATTTTCTGGCCCACATATACCTTTGATGTGTTCTAGAGGCAAGACTGCTGTATGGGAAGGCAGAATACTTCACAATCTGCCGGTCAGAACGCATAAAAGATTGTCCAAAGCGGCTGCCTACTTACCAGTGACCTGGTCAACAAGAATGCGAGAAGTAATAATGCGTCCATATTGTGAAAAAAGCTGTTCCAACTCCTTCTGGGTCATTGTTTTCGGAAGTCCGCTGACATACAAATTTTCATCTCTGATAGAAGCTGAACTTGGGCGAGCGTAGGAAACTTACAAAAGGGAAATAAAATTAAATGTATACGCACATGCAGTTACCTCCCTTCACAAACGCAAAGACTGCCTCAAGTCAGCAGCTTTTCCATAAGGAACACTTGACAAACACCGAAGTTAAGACAAGTCCAGCGTTAACTGTTTTACTAATTTCTGGAGCAATTCTCAACAAATGAGAAATGCCATTCCTCTGGATGGAAGGAAGAGGGTATTTACCCCTAGGTTTATAAGTTTTCAAAACAGACCAGTGGTACACATAGTCCAGGACTACTCATAGTGGGAAGTTGTCCTCAATGAGGCCAACCCCCTAAAGTAGGGGTTCAGGATCCATTGAAAGATTAAGCTTAAAGACTCAATTCATCCGACACATTTTTGTAACTTGTTTTTGAGTTTCTCCCATCTCTGGGGGTGCCACGTTTCTAAAAAATTTATCCTACTACCAGTAAGTATGCCCTTTTGATTTAATTCAAAATAGCTTTCCATCACCCCTAAATTCCCATAAATTTAAATATGTGAATGAGCTATTTCCCGTTATCCCCTATTGTTTTCTTATCCATAAGTCTTTTTAACCTTGATTTCCAAAAGATCTTAAGTCTCTTTATCGACTTTACTTGCCGTTTTATGTATCCTTTCAAAAGCTTCCTATCTTTGAGATATAGTCTCTAAAATTCTACAAGGATGGAAGAGAGAATAAGTCCGAGTGTATTTGTTTATAATCAAACTTCTTTACGTAAGCTCCATGAGGGAGGGAACTACAGCTATCTCGCTTATCACTGTATCCTCTCTATCTTGGCTTGTCATAGATGCTAGAACATTTGCTGAGTAAAGCCAATCTAATAGCCCATTGATCCTGTGAGTCCACAACAGCTTACTGGACCATAGCACTTAAGGGATAGTTCATCAAGTCACCTAGACCTTGCCCAGATTGTAATAAATGACTCTTTGCCTAAAACCTATCTCTGCCAATTTTTAGATAGTTCTGAGTCTCACTGGCTATTCCCTTTAGTTTAACTGTAAGCTTTTCTGGACTAACTGCAAAAACAGACATACCCCCATCACAATAAACCCCCATCTTCCAGATCATTCATAAAAATGACCAGCAGGTCTAGCTCTGGGATTGATTTGCTGGAGTACCATGAGATGATAACTTCTGCCTGCTCATTTCATCCATTAGTATCCACCTTTGTTCTAGTTCATTGCTTATTGCAAAAACAAAACAAAAAACCACCTTTTCAATTTAAACAGCTTTTGGTATTTGGTATGAAACACCAAATATTTTCTCCATGGTTTAAATTATGCCCACAGCTCTCTGTGTTATTACTTTTTTTTTTTTTGCTTTCCAGAAAAACAAAGCCAGTTTTTATACTACCTTATAAAGGTCTTGCTATCTTTCACCCCTGCCCCAATAGTGTTAACATTTAATACCTTTATCCTTTATTTAATGAGTTTGCTCGTTAACAACTGAAAATACACCTGTTGTTCTAAAGGCTATATTTGGAAGTCACATTAGCACTGTCTTGTCCCACAGACACAGGAATTTGGAATAGTAGTGGAGAGAAGACAGATAACTATTCACATACTACTCTTTTTTCTTTATGCCTAAACACTTAAGAACCATAAAGATCGTGGAACTTACATGTTAGTGCAAAATAAAAAATGAAGGAAAATTCCAAAAGAATTCATATGGAATCTAGTCTCGGGACTACTATAAACTGATAAAAATATAAAGCAAATGCAAATGAATTACGCATGCATTCAGCGATGTGAATACATGAATATCCAATTTCTTTTCTAAAGTACAATTCTCAACTATCTGGGTAAGCTAAAAATCACACCACTTGGACTCCCTTAGAATCTAGAATGTCAGGGCTTTATTTCAGTGGCAGGGAGTTCTCAGCAAGTCAGCTGTTAGTCTGCTCCAGATCATGGGACTGAAGTGTCCCTTTATGGGGAGTCACTTCCCATGGGCAACAGAGTAAGCTTCTCTACATTCCCAAAGTTGGGAGGCTAACTCCCAGTGGCTAAGGAAGCACGCAGTAGAGGCAGGGTGCCTCTCCATGAGCTCAGGCACGGCGTGACACAGTCTAACAGCAGGTGACGGTGACAACTCTCTAACCGATGCACCTGGGCTCAAAACCAGATTCAATCCAGGAAGGGGTCTGTGAACTTGGACAAATTCTTTAAGTCGACTACCACATAATTGTACCTTCTTTCTAGGCTATTAAGAATAATTAATAAAATAATCTCTAATCCACATAAAATGCTTAGCACAGAGCCTCAAGGCCTAGATGATGACATTATAAATACTATTTACCTTGACATGCATCTGACAATGCAAAGATCCAGACCATTAAAGTTGAGAGTAACCTGAGTCCATTACTGTCTTCCAGAATAATTCACTCATGCAGTGACATTCACTGCCTTGTGCATTTCAAGAGGAGTGTGGGTGGGGTGTTTTAAAAGTAATCCTAAAATATATTTAGGAAAACGGGTTTATATTTAGTGCTTATATAAAAGCTTTGAACACATACTTGGGTCAGTTATGTTATCTGCTTTCTTTTTTTTCCTTCAATGTCGGGTCTTCAGTTCACATTGCTTCTTTAATTCCCAGCCTATACTGACTATATTTTCTTATTTTCTGTATTCTTGATGCTCTGGCATTTATGGCCTTGATCCTGGAGAGACTGGGCCTCCCAGGGATAGCTAATTCCTAGAGATAGTAACCACCCTGTGAGTATGCCTTTGATATACAAACCAACCAATCCAGAGGCCACACTCCTATCTCCTTTATCAAACTCACACACTAAGCCAATATTCCTCCCACCTCAAATCAGCCCAGGCTAGGTCCCAGAAAACCAGGGACCACCCCTACAGCCCAGAGCCCTCCAAAATTATTCCAACTATCCAGTGCTAAACTTACCCAGCATACCTACCCTGCCTCACCCTTTCCTTCCCACAAGAACCCCAATAAAGGTTCTGCACTCTCCTGCTGCCTCCTGACCACCTCTGGTGCCTCCCCTTGTGGCCCTGCACAGCGTGTCGTGCCTCCTGTTACTAGAGATCTGTAAGTATAAACTTCTTCCTTTATAACAATCATCTCCATGTCTGTATATCTTACCATACCTGATTAAAACAAATCTCGGGTACATTTTTAGAACACAGCCACATTAAATGGGCTCCAAGAACCAATAACAAACCTTCTCAAAACTGTATTTTTCAGTACCTTTGTCAAAGAACCGGTTCCCACCACCACAGGCAGGACAGAGGTGACTGAATTGTATACAAACTCATGGTGGTAACAAACAATATTTCTATTTAATTTTAGGGGCTTATGAGACTTCACCATTTGCAAAGCATTTTCAAATACAACCATTTTGTTTGTGCCTCACAACAACCCCGTGTATAAAACACATTAGTATTTTACAGCCAGGGAAATAGGTACAGACAAGGTAAATAACATGCCTAAGGTTATACATAACAAGTGCTGAATTCTGGATTCAAATTTGATCTTCTGACCCCACGTCCCTGGCTCCTTCTCCCGTTTTCTTGCCACAATACCACACTACAGCTCATCAGTGCACTTGTTCTGAGAGTTTGGAAAAATTAAACGAATCTTGGTTGTTTCTTAAACACACACGTACACAGTGAAATTGAGCACAGACAGCAGAAAACAGGATGGCACTAGAAATTATAATTAAGTCAAAAGTGATGTTATTTCATTCTCCATTAGTATTGTTTAAAAACTAACTTTTCCCAAGAAAGGATGAGTGGCCACTAATTGCTATTAACTGGAGAAACTGCACATCATAATTAGGATTTTGAAATTAGTTTTGTTACTTTCTAATTCTCAGAATGTGATTAAATGAGCAACAACGCACCACCATCACCCCCCTCCAACCCACTTCCAGGAAATGAAGAAGAAGAGAGGGCCATCGCCCTCCTCCCAGACCAACTCCCACGTCTCCCAACTACATTTTTATTGTTTCTTGGGATTAAAGCAGCCCCTTTCCCTTGCTCTATAAAGGATTTCACTGTCAGCAACATCCTCCTTTCCAGGAAAAAGAAAACATCTCTTCTTCTTCTGCTTCTACCTCAAAGGATTATAAGCAGAAAATGTACTTAGACCCAAGTAGGAAGAAGACTTGCAGTGGGATACGGACTTGTGCTTTGGAGATTCAAATCAGTTTCCAGACCAAACTTTGTATGTGGCAATTATCAGCAATTCTCCCTTCTGATTTTTCTGTGGACCTGAAGCTCATACTGGTGCCTGGCTTTAAAATTCACCTAGAGAACCATTCTTGGGCTATCCAAAACCTTAAAGGGTTAAGTCTATCTTTGCGGTTCTTCAAGACTAAAATCCCTTGGAGAAGACCGAAGAGATGGTTTTGTTTTATGGAAAATTCTGTATTAGAAATACTTCAGGGGCCGGCCCAGTGGCGCAAGTGGTTAAGTGCGCGCGCTCCGCTGCGGTGGCCCGGGGTTCACCGGTTCGGATCCCGGGCGCGCACCGACACACTGCTTGGCAAGCCATGCTGTGGCGGGGTCCCATATAAAGTGGAGGAAGATGGGCATGGATGTTAGCCCAGGGCCAGTCTTCCTCAGCAAAAAAAGAGGAGGATTGGCAGATGTTAGCACAGGGCAGTATGATAACCCTCTGGCATATGTCCCAGGGGGTGAAAACAGCTTCTTTCACTGAGTGCAAGCTGTCTCCAATCTCCATTCACTGGATTAATAGATGAGTTTGGATTTTAAATTTTCACTGCCATTTAAACAGGTGAATATTTAATGCCTGAGGAGCAAGGTTATGAAATGTCAAAACTACTAAGTGAAGGATCTAATTTAAGAGGCAGCCAGAAAGTCTGCAATTTAAATATTTAAAGATGATACAGGGAACACAACACTGAACACCAATCTACTCCAAAGATAGCAATTTAAAACTCAGGTTTAGCCTGGAATTTCTCACAACCCTACAAGCGATATAATAAACAAAGACAAGCAATAGTGAGATGACTTGAGGGGAAAGGAAGGCAGGCAGTCAGAAGAACTAGGCAAATAGATGCTCTAGCCAATGGTTTCTCAAATCATTCTTCACAAATGAGATCAGACTGGACAAAACAGAGATAAAAATAGATTTCTCAAAGTAATTAGGTCTCAAAAATGGAACGGTTTGAGACACAGTATATTCTTTGTAATTAAAAACTCATTTCTTCATCAGCAACTAAAACTAATTATACATTAAACATTCAATGACAAGTAACAGATATACTAAGAATGGGCTATCAAAACACAAGTTAATCAAAATACACAGAATTAAAAGGAACAAAAATATCTCAGCGGTAAGAACTGGTACTTTATTACATGCACATAGTAAGGTTTAAAATCCCAGTACATCACTTTCAATAGAAGTCCAAACGCCTTTGTCCAAAAACACAAACACTCTCGATTCTGATTCATCAACAGAAAGATCAGTGACCGTGGACATTAATACCAACAGATGAAAGTGATAAAGTCTATAAACGAACAAAGAAATTCCTTCTTTATTAAACTAAGGACATTTGAAAAATCTCCCACTGGCAAGATCACCATTGAACGACTATCACTTGTCAATTACTGACCCAGGACTACAAACATTAAACCTGCAAATTAGAGACGTGCCACTTCAGACTTTTTTGAAAAGCTCCATTCGATTTCTTCGGCTGAAAAGAGTAGACAAGGTCATAGTTATGCCTATTTAAACTGAGAGTTAATTGCTGTTCATATCAAAAAATGAAGTCTTGATGAGACTGTCTGAAAAATGACTATCACTAAATAAAAATTAGTTCTGGCTCTGGTAGGCAGTAGCAAAGGTCTTGTGACAGCATCAAGGCTTTGTAGACAGGTAGCTACAGTGGACCCTCCAAAAGAACTCAGAAGTAAAGTACACAGAAACGATGTAATTTCTAACCACAGTTCAGGCCACAGACCTCAAAATTCACCCAAAAGAGAGTAGACTACTTTGATCTACTTCCAAATGCAAAACCCTACCAGAGATAGGTCTCAAATACACATCAAGGCATGTACATCTCACAAGCAATGTAATGTAATTACATGTAATCTCACCAAGATTAGGTTTTGCATAAGGACAGACATGTATCACGAAGGGCTGCAAATGAGTAAACCTGAGAACAAAGCACATGGAAATAAGTCCGCAAGAAAGTAAGGATTAGCTCTAGCAAAGGTGTTAGGGCTAAAAGGAATAATCACACCTAACAGGAAGACTTAGAAAAGGTATTATAGATTAGAGTAGTTACCTTTAAGAGGTATTCCAAGACACAGAATTTAGAAAACTACATCAGTGGAAAATACATATTGAACCTCAAATTGTACTGAGACTGGATTTGTTGAATGTTTGAAGTCTATATAAAGATTGTTTTAATTCAAACAATAAGTTCAGAGATACCATGGAATACATTTGATCATTTTATTCTCTGCTTAAAATCCCTCAAGGACTCCCTAATGCTTTAAGATTAATTTCAAATTTCTTGGTCCTTTATGCTCAGGACGCTGACTACCTTTTCTATACAAACACACACAACCTACCACAGTTTCCCAAAACTTCCTGCTCTCTCACTTCCCTGTGTTAGCGTAAGCTGTTCCTTTTACTCATCTAAATTTTGGTCATTTCAGACTTGGCATGGGTATCACTCAGTTCCTAAATTCACCTCTCATCCATCCTCTCCACTCTAGTCTGGGTTAGTACCTCCTACCTGGACACACAACACTGCATTCTATGCCTTGTTCTCTTAAATACTAAACAAACCAAGATGTACTCGTCTGTTACCCTGTGTTGCAACCGGCTTAACTCCTTGAAATAAGAAACCTTACCTTTATCCTACTTTGTTCACCCTAGTACCTACCACACACCTATTGCAGTAAGATGATTTATAATCACATACTATTGGGGAGACTTGAATTTTGAAATCTTGTCTAAAAAGTTAAGAGAGGCCATAATCCACTTTCTAATAGCAAAAATCCTATGTGACGGTACTTTGCGCATAAACTAGAGATTCCACTAAACATTTAAAAAATGAAGTTTCATTTAGCAAATTGGAGATTCAAATCCCTAGAGGCAATAAAATCTCTGACAGAATAATACGTTGCTGGCGGGGGGGAGGGGTCTTAATTTTGGAGCAAAAAGAATATATAAAAATCATTTAGTCCAATCTGTTTATATTTTAAAAAAAAAAGGGAAGCTGACGCACACAAAGGTGAAGTGACTTGTCCAAAGACACAGAGCTGGGTATAAGATTCAGGGGTCTTGACTCTTGGTCAAGGGGTTCTCCGTTATACCACTGGCTGCAATGCACAATCTGAAATCATGCAAGTTTCTAGTTAAATGATGGTTACTGGGAGTGTGATCAGACATTTATAAGGAAATACCTGAAGAGATACACAAGAAGGTAAGAACCTTAGGCTTTGCTAAATTTTTTCCTATATACACATAAAGAAACCTGAAATACATCAAAATGCGTCATTCCCCTAGGACAGTTACTTTATTTCTTCTACTAGTAATGTCATTTAGGAGATGTTTGAGAAAAATCTATCATGGGGTGGGTAGAGAGGAGGGGAGCTGAAGGGAGAAAAACCAAACAAAGAATCCTGAGACCAGTGCTTTACACCAATTAAATTAAAATGTACCTAGAATAGTCAGAATATTTTACATATTAAACACGCCTGCCTTTTGTTTGATTACGTACCATTTAACAGAAAGGGAAAATAGTAACCGCTTTTATTTACACTAGAGAGACTTCGGCCACTTCACATCACGTTCAAATCTTTTTTTTTTTTAATTTTATTTATTTATTTTCCCCCCAAAGCCCCAGTAGATAGTTGTATGTCATAGTTGTACATCCTTCTAGTTGCTGTATGTGGGACGCGGCCTCAGCATGGCCGGAGAAGCGGCGCACCGGTGCGCACCCGGGACCCGAACCCGGGCCGCCAGCAGCGGAGCGCGCCCACTTAACCGCTAAGCCACGGGGTCGGCCCCCACATTCAAGTCTTAGTGCAACATCATTAAATAAAATTCAAGGCAGTTGTTTCTCATATCCAACCTAAAGATGAAGCTAAGAATAAGTAACGTCATAAGAATAAGCGATCATATACGGCATTGTTAAAAATAATACTGAAACTACTGAATAGCCACGCGAAAAGAAAAGTATGCTGGTTCGAAGATTTGTATTAAGCAACTAATAATAAACTGGAGACTTGACAAACTAGATTTCCTTTTTCACACATCTTAAACTTAGCCTCTGAAAAACTACACTGGGCAGAGTTTATTTAATGCTACCCAAAACAGCTTCATCCATGTGTATCAATTAAATGAGGGTCCAAATAGGCTGTCCTGACAGACATCTTTATTTTTTATTAAAGTATCACAGTTGGCAGAGCCTGTCTGCCCTTTCACCGTAGCTTCTGCTTGGCTATAGCACACAGTTGGTTCAACAAGGACTCTCGTGCTGGTAAAGGCAAACGGCGTCCACGATAAAGATATTCTTGAAACACAACTTAGAAAGGCCACAAATGCCTTCCAAATTCCTCAAGATCTCTGCATGTAAAGAATTTAACAAAAAATAAAACACAAGTTACGTGAAGGAGCAGGGTGGGTGGCTGAACCAAATCCACTACTGCAGTGGTGGATTAGTCATTCCACAGTCTGAGCAGGAATCTGTCAATCAAAATGTTCCATACTCCATTCCAATCCAGTACCTTCATTAGCCCATTAAAATTTTAGAAAGGGATTACACTGAAGTGGCATTAAAAAAGGGAAAAAAAACAAAGATGGGAGTTTCAGCTGTAACCAAAGAGTCCATTCCTATCCTCTCTGCATTAGGAATTTTACAGTTGTGGTGAAGAAAACTGACTCCCTTACTTTTAACATTAAAAATGAGAAATAAGCCTGTATTTATTTAGCCACATGATCTTTAGAAATATTAAGTAACATGAATAGGCTGGAATTGAGGCAAACATGAGTTAGTTTAGTACTAGGTCAAAAAACTTATAAAAGGCAGAAGAGAATGCATTATTTCCAGTGAAGTTCTGGCCACACACAGCATACTATAAACTAGTGGCCAGAAATTAATGCTTGTACTAGAGCCCTCCAAAGTTAAGGAGTATACACAGGGCATGGAATCACACACAGCTAGGTCCAGGTCTTGCCTCCGTCACTTACCAGTTATATAACTCAGAAATAATTTCCTTAGGTCCTTTGAAGCCTCTAGTTCTTCATTTGTAATTTGATGTTAATGATAGTCCTTACTTCACAGGGAACTTACAAGGATTAAATGGAATAATAAAACTATTAGCACCAAGCTGGAGAACCATAATAATGTTTTAATCATCATATAATGATTTCATTATATAATATATATATCATTTCATATATATAAAATCATAGCAATACAGATAATGATAGCCCTTAACATTTACTAAGTGCTTACCATGTGCCAGGCACTGTTCTGGGTATTTAACATAAAGTAATGCAACTGATCTTCACAATAAATGTAGGAATTGGGTATTACCAGCATTCTCAATTTATGGAAGAAAAAACTCAAATATTATCTCTGAGATCAGATAAGAAGACAGAGGGGACTTGGCACAAAGAAGATGTATGCACTTGAACAGAAAAATAGTCCAAGATTAGACAAATAAGGTTTCTTCCAAATCCATGGCAGTTATTATAGAAATTAATTCTTATAATAATTATTACAATATTCAAGTACAATATTACAAGTGTTTTGTAAGACAACAGCAGATGAGTGTGTTGGAAGCCTATGCCTGGCTGAAGCAGGAGGAAAAGGCTGTCTTACTGTCCTATGGAAGGTCAACATCCAGCATCTTTAAATGGGCTGATAGAAAAGGCCAACTTAATTTTATTTCTCCAATCAAAATACCACATATTAAATCCTCCCACTTACTCATTCTCCCTCACAGAGATCTGCTAGAGCCTAAAGTGAGATGCAAAATGAGAAAGAGAGGATACTTTTTTGGGAGATGGTGGCAGAAATAGTATGTAGATTTCAATGGAATAGCGCCTAACTTCAGATTAGGGTTTACATGTATGTTTCTGAATGTGGGATGGGTTACAAGTCACCATGCAACCACCGCCTAATGACTCAATGTGATTTCACAGCATAAAAAAATACTAAGGAGGCTACACTAGCAGGTAGTACTGTAAATTTTTCATCTTAGACACTTTCACTAGATATAGCGTGAGGGCGTTAGAGAGACTTAGAGAAGAAGGGAAATCTCAGTACTTAGTACTCGATACTCAGGTATGTTCAATCCTGCCACAGCAGCAAACTGCCTCCAAGCCTCCTCTCAGGGTAACAAGTACCGCAATTCACTTACAAAGCTTTTATATTATTAGACTTTAAGCTCCTGGAGGGTTGAAACTAATTCTTATATGTATGCCTGCCTAATAGCGCCTGATAGCCCCACCCACCAAGTAGACACTCCAGTATCTGCTAAGTGAATCTATTCCACGGCCTCCTGCAGGGGCTATTTCTGAAGTGCCTCTCAGGCAAGATGATTAGAAGGTGTGATGCTTGTCCAAACAATCTGGCTCTTTATGCTTCATTGGAAACTACACAAGTTAAATTGGCTTATAGAAAAACAGATGTACTCATCCAATTCTTAGAAAGCCATTCTCCAGTAACGGCTTCTTAAGCGTTCTTTCAAGATTCTGAAACTTAATCAGATGCAATCTCCAACCAAAGCCATACTATCAAGATACCTGTCACAACTTTACCTTCAAAAATAAACTTAAAATATAATTTATATAGTATTTGAGCATCTAGTTTATCTAAGGCACTGCTGACAGATTAAAACGTTGGGTTAGAAAATTAAACCCAAAGAAGGACTACACAGTACCCAGTATAAGTAAACAGGAGCTGTTTAAGAATAAAAGCCAACTAGTACTGGTTGGTAATGTGTGGAAAAAGAAAACAGTTCTCAACAAGCCAATTTCGGTAGGTGATAGGTCCTAGGGCTTTCACACAGTCCTGCATCTAAGGAGACAGGTGAGAAACAAGACACAGGCTGACGGACATTTTGTGGAAAATCTCACATAAAGGGATAACAATAGTTGAACCTTCATTTGTTGTAGAAAAGAAAAAGCTAGTGAGTCTTTTATACGTCCTTCATTTGACCGTAACTTCAATGAATAGCAACCCCTACCAAGAAGTGACAGAGTTCCACTTTTAATTTCACTTAAATTGTGAATGTTCCCATCTTTGAGCACACAGAGCAGACCCTCACTGTTTCTCATAGGCAGTAACAGACAGCAACTTCCTCATTCAGAAATAAGAAATAAAAGCATAAGTATTCTGTGAGGAGCTCTAGCGACAAAGATGCCTGCCCTCAGAGAGCAGACCACCAGATAGGAGAGAAAGAGAATGTGTAGTGAAAAATGAAGGCTTTTAGGGCCAAATAAAACTTGGTAAATAGTGACAATGGTGTGGGGCACTACAGGCAGAGAATGACCGCAGGCAGGAAATAACTACTACCCCTGCGTATTCAAGGAAGAAGAGCCCAGCTAAGCCAGGATACCAGCTTTTGTAGGATGGCAACACTGGAATAGTGACCTGGGGCAGATTCTAGAGCCCTTAAATGCCACGGTGAAGCCTTGATGAGCAGGGGAGTGACAAAGGACAGAAACGTATATGTGTATGTCATATACATATACCATATAGAGGAAGTGTTCCCATCATAACTAGGTGAGGGGAATAGTCAAAATCACTAAAAAAGGATAAATGTAAAATATGGGGCTAGGTTTAATCAAATTTTCCTACCAATCATTTTTGTAGAAGGTTATTACTTGATAAAATAAGTATACTTTATAGTTTTCAGACGTCAGTTTCTTCCAAAAAGTACATGTCACATAAAGGCCTCTGTGTCTTTGAACGAGACATACCTTCATGTGTAATACCTTTCCTTCCTTCTCTGCCTGATAAACCCTATTTTGTAAAACTCTATTGCCTCTGAAACCACTGCAGAGGCTTCGACAGCCAGTGATATATCCATTTCCATGGCACTCTGCATTCATTTATCATACATCTAAATACTGGTCACCGAAAGCAAGTGCTATCTCCCATCCTACACAATGACACCAAGGACAAGACTACATACACCTTGTCGTATTTTAGCAATGCTCCAACATTTAGCAAAGCTGACTGGTACATACTAGACACAACGCTTGCAGAATTAGCACTTATTTAATTACTCACATATATTCCCTACCCAAGATTGTATAACCATGATTGTATAGTCTTTAAAAAAGCAATTTGCAACTAAATATTTTTTTAACATTACGTTTGATATCTTTGCCCTTTGCGGGGGAGGGGAAAGGGAAAAAAAGCACATGCATGATGAACATTTAATACCTTTTAAAGCACATGAGCTTCCCTCAAACTTGGAGACTGACCACTGGTCTTGTTATAGTTCCATATAATGTAATAAGGCCCGAATGGGATGGGACTCTTGAAGATGAAATAATCACTCTGACTAAACCTTTAACATACTTTAAAAAATTATTCCTCAAACTTTCAAAGGAAAATTTCTCACAATCTTTCTCTTTTAAACAAAGGGTAAGATATTTTGTTTCAACAATCCCCCTTCAAATACCTGTTGTAAATGTAAAACAGTCTGCAATCTATACCTATATTACAGTAAACCACAAGAGCCAAGATTTAGTGTTTTCAGGCCTAATTTGACCCAATTGCTAGGACGTAGTGCGTGTGTACGTGTATGTATGTGTACACACACATGCCAAGAAAAAAGTTAGGAAACCAACTCTCAAGGGTAGCCTGTTTATGGTAAACCTTGCTCGGTACAAGCTATACACCATTAAAAAAAAAAAAAGGGCAGTACCAGAACACATTTGGGATTGTCTATGGCATTTCTTATCTCTCAAATAGGCCTACGTGGAAATTTGTGTGTGAGATAAAGGTACACAGATAAAGGAAAAGAAGACCTCTCCAGAGCCAAAGAAAGCTTTATCTACATATATTTTGTGGACCTAAGTTATACAACTATGAAAAATTTATTCAATAGGTAATTTAAAAGGAATAACTCATGAAATATTACTGAATGTTTTATAACTTCAAACCTACCAAGATATTTTTCTCTCAACACGATTAGACATTAGAGAATAATCACAGGGAAAGCTTTTTAAATGAACTGATTTGTAGGACTAACAGTCTAGTTCAAAGACAATCCCTCATTCTCCAAGTATCTATTAGACACCTGAGCGGCACAGTCCCCTAAACAGCTTTACAAAAAGTAATTACTGTATTCCTAAAGCCTTCTGTATGACAGTTGTGAAGATTTTTACAAGAAAAAGGCTTTTTAAGGAAAACACAAGACAACCTAAACTGTACACAATGAAGAGACTGATCACTGCCGTGCACAGAACTGCTTCAGGACTTTAAAGAGGGGCCGTTAACAGGGATAACCACCTTTACCTTTGCTGTAAGACAAAGCGTTCTCCTGCTTCAGACGTGCAGAGGCACCTCACTTTACCTTGAGAATCCAGTCCTGCAGTATTTAATTACACTGTCGGGAGCACCGAATGGTCTGGCACCATGCCCTTTCCCCGGGTCTCGCTGATTGATAGCATCAATAACATTCACTGGCTGTAATTAAACCGCCAAACAGTATCCCCTTTGCCACTTGGTAGATCAATGTTCTTTAATACTCAAAGAACAAAGTACAAAGGTGAGAGGGGTGTTTTTAGCCCTCACCTTCACAGTTCATTTGACTTTGTGAGCCACAGGAGCTTGCAGACAATGCATATTTCACAATTCCCCAAAGACACTGGTTAATGACGAAGAACACGAAGGAAAATCCTGCAATTTGGTGATGAGAATTTATTAACCCATTTTTGCGAATCTGAACACAAGGCAATGGTATGCACTGTGTTCACATAGCTCTGGGACAAAATTCAGTTTACAGATCAAAAGGTTTATAAATTAAGGTGGCATACAGTAAACTTTTTTCTTTAAATATTTATAACATGCTATGTGGGGGAGTTCTTATGATAATAGAGCAAATTCCCATTTATTCAAACCCTGACCAGAAAGTTCAAACATCCAGATACTGGGAAGGGTGTGGTTAGGAGCCTATAAATATGAGACAACTTTTTATTGCATTGTAAAAGCAGCTTCCATAATTTAGGGATTCACAACTACCGTGGATCATATCATTCAACCCCCAATCTCTATGCTATGAAATACCCATTTTAAATGAATGGGCCCCAGAAGAACCGTACTGGAAATTCCCCACTCTCAGATTCAAATATTAAATGATGTTTATGTACCTGTAATGCTAAAAGTATGTAATGACATTCAAATGCTCAGAAAATGAGCAAATTGTGTGTGTCTGTGTGTGTGTGTGTGTGTGTGTGTGTGTGTGAGAGAGAATATGTATTATTTCTTAAATAAGTCCAGCATTACATTCATTAAAAGTGTATCTGTTAATCACAAGCATACCAGATAGTTTATGATAGAACCCACAAATTAAAATCTTATTTACATGCAGATTTGTTTTGAAATAAGCACCACAGACCAATCCAAGGGCAAATCATTCAAGTCCACTAAATAATGGTTCTCGGATCAAACCACCACCTGTTAAGAATCACCTGCAGTGGTTATTAAAATATAATTTCCTGGCATCCCTCTGCAGATAATCGGATTCAGTAAGTCTTGATTGGGGTCCAGAAATCTGCACTTGATCAACCACCCCACCCTAGTGGTTCCGATGAACACTGAAGTTTTGGCAGTCCCTAATGTAGAGGGATTTTAAACAAGTAATCCTCCAACTCCCAGGCATCTTTGGGTTTCCAGGAGAGCTCATAAAAATTACAGAGGTCAAGCCCTCCTCCTCGCCACCCACTGATGTTGTTTTCCCAATGAGTAGGACAAATTCCCAGGCAGCTTGCAAAGAGTATATGTGAATATGAATCACCAAATACAGAAATGTTAAATAAAACAAAGCCCATAAAACTCATCCAAAGGTATTTCCACGAATCAGACTGGCTGGACGTGGCTCAGCTGGATTAGGGAGCCCATCAGCCTAGCCAGCTTCTGCAAAAGGCTGCTGTCCTTGATTTAAGAGGTTGGAGCCGCTCTCAATGACTCCAGAATCTCTTTAGGAATACGAACAGGGTTGTTTTGCGTAAAGCCGGCAGAAACAGTCGAGTTTCTAAATAGTCATTTAATAAAATTTCTGGGAACTAGAGCTTTTTCGGAATTACCAGTTTCCAGGACCATGCAGAAGTTCTGCCTTTCCTTGTATTTCCCGCTGCTCACCCAGTGTCATTTCAAGACTCATTAGCAACCCCAGAACCTATGCAGGAAGGATTCAACTTCTCACTCCCCTGGGGGGAGGTAACCTTATACTAATGACATAGTGTATTAGCATGATTTATTGATTTTTTTTCCCCCAAATCCACTTCTCTATAACACAAGGTAACTAAAGTAATTTTTTAAATATCCAACAAAATTAAACCAAAGAACTAAACACAGTGACTACTTTCTTCAGAGTAAAAGTAGCTTTTTAACCCCTCCCCAACGAGATTTCTAAAATAAAACTTTAATATAGAAAAGGAAGATTGAAAAACACTGAATATTCTTGATCTCTCTCCAAAAGTAACAGGCCACCACAGTATTTTCTACCTCTAGATGTCAAGCAAAACATTTCACAAGAACTGTGTAGCCTGGGACCATCTCCACCACTTTACAAAAGAGAAAACTAGACCAAGAGAGCACTAGCAGAAACAAACCCAGGACTTGTGACTCCAGGTCCTGATGCAGCATTCAAAGCAGTTCTTCCCAGGGAGAGGCAGACAGGGACCAGATTTCC